AGTTTCTGTGATGACTGCCCTTGTACTGTTCACCATGTAAGAATTTATTCACTATGTAAGAATTTGTTCACCATGTAAGAACTTCTTCGTTATGCTTCAGAAGATTGGAGACTGACGAGAATTAGGCTTGAGATGGATTAATGATTGTGCATTGAGCATTGACTCCCCTATACAGAATTTTATTGTTGTTAACAACCATTTGATCAATAAATATGAGAGATACCTCTCAAAAAAAAAAAAAAGAGGCCCTTTGAATGTGTTGCCCAACTCTAAACACTAGTTGGGAAAGCTTCCTACCTGGCTTCTTTCTACAAAGTATTTCTTTACTTGTGTCTCCCACCTCAGTCCCTCCATCCCCCTCACTCCCTCCACTATTTCCTATTGCCTTTAGGGAGTTAAGACACAATGCTCTAGCCCCAAGATGATTTTCAAATGAAGTCTCCTGAAGAAAATGCTATATAATGAAAAAGTCACCCTAAAAAACAGAAACTTTGCTTTATGGTTTCCAACTCTCACCAACAGGTTAACAATGGGCATTTATTACAGATGATGACTGGGCCAGCTTATTTTCACACTTGCACTTCTACCTTTTAAACAACAGGAGCCTACCTAGCTTATGTCAGTGCACAGGTAGACTGAGATCTCAGGGTTCTAGGAAGATAGCTATATTTATATTTTAACAAATAACTAACATACTGGATTCTTTTTTTTTTTTTTGTAGATGTTGAGGCACTTAAGTGATGCTCAATGCCACGTTACTGACCAGCTTCCTTCTTTCTAGCTTAGACAATACTTATTAAAGCTACAGGCCAGGAAAGCCATAAAATACGTTGTGTATATATTTAAACAACAGCAACATAATAAATGTGGTCCTAACTATACTCAGATACCAAAAGATTTTAAAAAAAAATACAAAACACCTTGATCAGACTAGTTGGCAGAATATACAAGGAAATGGAAAACAGAGCCCCACCAAGAAAATGTAGTGACAACAGGCCATACTCAAACCAATAAACTGGAAGACCCCAAATGACAGGCTTTCCCTTTGAAATAATTTCAATTCCCAGTTTAAAACACCTTCACAATAATTAGCGTTTACATACTACCAACTATCACAAGAAGGAGATGGGCTCAGACAAGGATTTTCTAAGCATGACATGAGGTTTATAAAGATACTCGAGAACTGTTATCTGAAATGTGAAGGGTGATGTTTGGGTAAGATTTTAAGCCAAAAAAAGGCAAAAAATGTCAGGAATTGGGAGATCATTTTAAAAAGTGAGCTTAGTCCTGAAAAGTGTCAACCGCCACATGAGAGCACAAACAAGGCCACGTTATCACAATGCAGCCTTGCCACCAACTTGAAAAATAATCAGAGTAACTGTATCTTACCGCTGGCTGCTCTGACCCAACGTGACCGTAGCTTCCCCCAAACATGCGTGAGACTGGTGTATTGCAGAATGGAGATGCTGGGACTATTCAGGGCATGAGACAAAATGGTAGTATGATTTTCTGCAGCTATCCCCAGAGTGAAAAGCTGAAGAACCAATGGTCTAACATTGATTTGGAAAATGTAAAAGTCTAGAAGAAATCCCAGGAAAAGGAGAACATGAATTTAAATGGAATCTTTCCTACAAAATTAAGCTACCATAATTTGACTATTGGTGTATGGTGATTTCCTTGAAGAATAATATCATAAATGTACAGCTTACTTGTAAGATTATAATCAAGACTTATGTTCTCATCTTTGACTCTCAGTACAGGTAAGGGTTTCAACATCTAAACCAAAACAAAATCACATTAGATCTTTCACTCAACTGCTCCTAGGCATCTGACTGAACACTTTCTACCATTAGGATGAAAGGTATTTACTACTGTTTCTCATGTCTAAAGTATCTCTTAAAGATGTGGATACAGGTTTAAGTAGAAGCAAGATCATTTTTTTCATTAGTATTTCACCAGATTAACCCACACTGAAACACTTCTTTAAAAATAAAAAATTACCCATCTATCAAAACAAAAACAACAAAGAGTATTCAATGTTAGAGAGTCCTTCAGATGTTCATTTAGAGAACTGCATCAAGTGAAGAAATACGTAATTTTTAAAAGTAATAACTTAATGATTATAATGTAGTCTTTTTATTTGTGTTTCATGTATCTTAACGATGTGAAAGTTTGTATTTGGGTACAGACAGTACTTTATCATCAAGGTCACACATTGTAAATGAATCTGAAGAAGTGTATAGGCTCTGTCTAACATTTTTGAAGGAAAAAAACCAGTTCCCACAAGTAAACTCAGCACTGGCCCAAAACATCACCTGCCTTCTCCTTGCTATTAGCAAGGATAAGAAGATGCCTTTTCTACACTCTCTCCCACATCTCAAGTACTCTAGGTTCATACAATTTTTAGACAAATTCAGACTTCACATGCAGTGTACTAGTAGAGTCTGACTCCTAAGTTCAAACTCTGGCTCTGCCACTGACTAGGAGCATGACTAAGGTAAATTACATACAGATGAAGCATTTAGAGAACGTTAGTTCCTTACTCAGTAAGTGTTAGTGTTTATTAATATTCCTACTAGATTTTATCTTATTTTAGCCCAACATTCTCTAATGCAAAGATCCTTTTCCAACCTAATTCAATGTTTCCTGCCACCCATTAATTCAATAATTTGCTATGTGATTATGACAGAAGCCACTGTGTTCTAACCTAAACATAGTCTGCCAGCAAACCTACAGTATGACATCAGTCCATTCACTAACACTTCTTTGCAAAAGAGGGTACACATGCAATCAGATAGAGCCTTACAATATTATTGGAAGGAAGGGCAGTGGAAATATTTACAAACACACTTTTATTTTTCAGAAGGGGAAATGGAGCCTGAAAGGTTGAATGATATCTGTATGTGATGGCAGCATTTTGGTCCTTTAATTTTTCAACTTATAATCAAGAGTAAACTTGTCCCATAAGTTCTAGAGGAAATGTAAAGATAAACTATAAACATATAAATATGCTCTGTGCTCTAAGGAAGAACAGTGTTGCTCAAATACAATGAATTAGTATTATGTACCCAAGAGATCATGTTCATGTTCAGCAACATATATAATACTGGTTTCACCAGGAATTACTATTTTATAAGTGCGAAAAAATTCATGTAATTGGGCAAATTTGAATCTACAGCATCAATACATTCATAAATCTTAAGAAAATTTCCAACACTATAAGACAGCATGGAAATGATCCAATAAATATAATCTTTCTTCCACATCTTCCCAGCCTCACATGCTCACCACTAACATTCAGAAAAGATACTGAAATGAGGTTTTTGACAAGACACTCTTAAGAAAAGTAAAAACAAAGCATCATGCTACTTTTTCTATAACTGCCACTAAACTCTCCACAAATAATGCTATTACAAATCAATGTCAGCATGTTTACCACAGCACTATTTACAATTGCCAAGATATGGAAGCAACCTACTTGTCCATCAGTAGATGAATGGATAAAGAAGATGTGGAGCATATACACAATGGAACACTATTCAGCCATAAGAAGAAAACAAATCCCACCATTTGCAACAACACAGATGGAGCCTGAAGGTATTATACTCAGTGAAATAAGCCTGGTGAAGAAAGACAAGTACCAAATGATTTCCCTCATCTGTGGAGTATAACAACAAAGCAAAACTGAAGGAACAAAATAGCAGGCAGACTCACAGAACCCAATAAGGGACTAGTGGTTACCAAAGGGAAGGGTTTAGGTAAGTGGGTGGAGAGGGAGGGAGAAGGGGATTAAGGGGCATTATGATTGGCACACATAATGCAGGGGGGGGCACAGGGAAGGCAGTATAGCACAGAGAAGATAAGTAGTGACTCTATAGCATCTTAATACGTTGATGGACAGTGACTGCAATGGGGTGTGTGTGGGGGACTTGATAATATACGTGAATGTAGTAACCACAATGTTGCTCATGTGAAACCTTCATAAGATTGTGTATCAATGATACTTTAATAAAAATAAAAAATAAAACAAACAAATAATAGGGGAGTAGTAGTACCAGGAGTTTTCTGGAATTTGTGGCTTTTAAAAAATTGCTACCCTCCCCATATCTTTAGATTCCCTCTTATTCTGCTCTACTTTTTAAAAATTACTTATTTACTGTTATTTTTATTGTCTGTATTTCCTCAATAGCATATATGCCCCCTGACTTTTTCCAAGTACCTAGAATTATACCCAACACCTGACTGCTCTCAAGAAATACCTGCTGAATATGTAAATGGAATAAAATAATTAACATCAGCATCACTGTCTGTATACTCATAAACATGCTGTTCTCCTGTTTAACTTACCAGAATCAGTGTTTACCAAAACACCCAGAGGGTCTGCATGTGCCTCAGGTAGACCTTCAGATTTTGAATCACTCAAGCAATTGCCTGATCCAATGGTGAGTCTCCGTCCAGCATGGTCACTTTTCAATTTGTGATGTCTGCCAGGACTTCTGATCTTTGCCATCTGTGAATGTCTGGCCATCCCCTTCATCTTGCTGGAGTAAGAAAAATGAAATTCTTAATATAAAAGGCACTGTCATTTCAAGAAAAATGTGAAAAAAAGACTACTGAATGCAAAAGAAACCTAGCTGTCGAATCAATCACTCACAGCCTATTACAGAATAAGATCAATCTGAAGGCTTCCAAAGACAGAGAACTCTATGGTAGAACTTTAAAAGAATAACATACCACATACTTTATCATCCAAGATGCACCTTTCTTCCCATATTTTAACCGCTCTGAAATTCAATTATATTGTACAAACAATAGCAGGTGAATTTAACTGGCAGTACTCTCACTCCTGTTGTACATAAAGTAAGTGTTTCTCAGATTTTTATCAAGTGGGCTAACCCTTGTCTACTCATTTTTAAGGAGTGTTAAAGTTTCTGAAGCATGAACAAATATGCTGCCTTGTTTGATCTTCATGACAACTCTTTGAAATAGATTAGACAGGCACTATTCATTTACAGGAGGAGAAACTTAAAGATCACAGACTGGGCACAATTCACAGCTAGCTCAAACAAGTGCCCTCTCAATCACTACAATTACTCCTCTTAGAAGGAAAGCAAATACTTATGTGAGCGTATTCTAGCATAAAGTATGTGTAAGAAAAAAAGGGTTCTTTACATCACATTTTCAATAGAGAGTAATACAAGGTCTCCATTGGTAGAGCTGAGTTTTCAAAAAGATACATATGTTTTTCCTAATTTGTCATTATTAGGCATAATTTTTTTTTTCACTAATAATGGAGGCTATAGTTAGGAGTAGAGAAATCAGAAATCTGGGTTCAAATCCCAATTTTGCCACTTAGTGTGTCTCTTTAGACAGTATTAATATCCCTGAGTTTGTTTACTCCCTTATCTGAAGAAAGGGCATCACAGAGGCACAGAATAAAAAGTGCTCTGCATTTAAAACAAGGTAACAAACTGAGCCCTTAATAAATGGTAATTATTATCATAACATTTTCTAAATAATTTGCTTGCTAAACCAGTATATTCAGTTAATATCGCTGCAATCCAGAGATTCTTAATCCTTTTAGGGTCACCATATTCCTCAGTGAGTCTCATTCAAAAAAAAAATCAAATATATTCTCTAGATTTTGAAGAAAACTGTGGACCAATTTCCAACAGGCAATCACAGATGTCAGGCTAATACTACAACATTGTCATCACAGGTAAAACAGACAGTTTCTGCCGCTGGCTCACCATCCCCATGAGGATAATGAAGAGATGCCACATTTTTAGGCGCCCACTCACAGATGCTTTCCCTGTATCCTGCCCCTGTAGAAACTGACCACAGCTGGCTTTCAAACAATCATCTTTAAGGTATTCACAAAGAACTAATGAGTTAGGATGATCCTACTGATGATGAGATCAGTAAGACTTCATTGAAAAGTGATATATGTGGTATTTGCACTCCCCCACCTTTGAGAGAGTAGTTGTTATACCATTGCTTGACAATCACTTAAAAAGAGTTTATTTAATCAACACTTTAAAATAGTTACCAAAAAAAGTAGTAAAAATGTAGATGCACATCAAGTGGAGGGATTAAGGAATTATAACTAAAACGCTAATAGTGGGAAAAACAGAAATATTAAAAAATTTTTCAATCAATCCAAAAGAAAGCAGGAAAAGAAACAAATAGGACAAAAAAAAGAAAAATAGGACAATTGTAAACTGAAACCCAGCTCTATTAGTAATTAACATTAAATATAAATGTTAGTTACAAGATTTTCAGCCTAGATAACAAAAAGGTGAAATTACATATTCTGTAAGAGATACACTATTAAATATACAGATATAAAAGATTAAAAGGAAAAGGCTGAAAACACGGTCCTTTCCCCACGGCATCACACTGCCACCTCTGCTACAGCCAGGTTGTTTCTTATCAGTGGATTGTTTGTAGACTATTCTGTTGTACTCTGATCTGGCTTTGGCCAATAACACACCATCTTCATTACTCTATCTTAGTGGTTCTAGATCTTTTGCATTTTCATATAATTTTTAAAGCTTATCAGTTCTGCTCCTTCCAAAAACAAAACAACAAAACAAAAGAAAAAAAAAACCCAATTGCTGGGATTTTGATTGGTGCCAGTTTGGGGAGACTGACATATCACATCACATCAAGTCTTCCCATCCATGAACATTATATATTCCTCCAGTTATTCAGGCCTTTATCTTTCTGAGCAATGTTTTATAGTTTTTAGTATAGAAGTCTTGCAAATCTTGTTAGATGTATTCCTAGGTATTTGATATTTTGATGCTTTTATAAATAATATCTTAAAATTTTTTATTTCCTAATTGTTGATAGTATATAGACATGCAATTGGTTTTGAAAATATTGATCTTGTATGTATTCAGTGACCCTACTAAATTCACTTATTAATCCTAATTATAGGTTTGTTTGGATTGTTACTTACACAATATCTACTAAAAAAACTGACAATTTTACTTCTTCCTTTTCAAACTTTATATGTTTTATATTTTTTCTTCTTTCATTATGCTGTCTAGGATGTCCAATATAATGAACAAAAGTGGAAACAGTGGAGATGCCTGTCTTATTCTCAGTCTCATGGGGAAATGGTCAGTATTTCATTATTAAATATGATTTGGCTATAGGTTGTTTGTAAATACCCTTTATTAGATTAAGGAAATTATTATTTATTCCTAGTTTTCTGAGAGGTTTTTCATGAATGGGTGTTGAATTTTATCAAGAGAAGATGAAAATGGTCAATAACCATATAAAAAAAGGTATCCAACATCATTAGTCAAGAGGGAAATTATGTAACATGAAGGAAAGGTACAACAATACCAAACACTGACCAGGGTACAGAGCAATTAGATGCAGAATCAGTAGGAGCATAAATAAGAACAACCATTTTGGAAAACTATTTGGCTCTATCTAATCTAATTATATAGATGTCCTATGACCTTGTTTGTATATGTGGGTGTATATGTGTGTGTGTATACCTCCAATGAAAGCAAGTACTTATGGCCACAAAAGACATTTAAAAGAACGTTTGTAACAGCTGCATTTGTAATAGCCCAAACTGGAAACAACCCAAATGTGCAACAGGAGAATGCATATATATTCTCACAATTGAGCTCTATAAGCAATAAGAATGAACAGTTTACAGCTACACACAATATGGATGAATCTCACAAAATAATTTGGAACCATAGAAATTACACACCAAAGAATATATATTGTATGATTCCACTTATATCAGGTTCCAAAAACAGGCAAAATAAATCTACAATGATAGAAATCAGAAAAGAGGTTACCTTTGTGGGAAGGCAATGAACTAAGGAAGCTTAAGAGAGCTTTGTGAGGTGCAGACATTCTGTATATTGTTAATCTGTGTCAAGGTTACTTGTGTGTGTAGGTATGAGTATGTGTGTATGTGTATAAATTCTTTGAATTATACACTTAAGATTTGTATATTTTATTTATATTAAAATACATACTTCAGTAAAAAATGAAATGAAAAAAATTCTAAGGTAGGTGAGTGGGGAAAATAGCATGTCTCATACATTACTGGTGGGAGAGTAAACTAGGATAGCTTCTGTGATACGTATCTAACAATTTGCTATTAATATTACAAACACACATATATCTTTGACTCAGCAAATCCACTTCTAGGAATCCTTTCTCAGAAATTCCTGCACATGTGTAAAATATATGTACAGGGCAACAATGACATTTTATTAGTATAATACGGGTAAAAATTAAAATGTGTGTTTATAGAAAATTGGTTTTAAAAAAAAGACCTCACAGGACATACTTAAACTTCCTACACATCTCTGAAAAATAAGGTAGTTTGTGATATATTAGTATGGGACAATCTCCATGTATATTATTTGGCTAAAAAAGCAAGGTATGGAATAGTGTCAAAAAAAGGGAAATTAAAAAGACTATTATCTTTCTGCTGTATGCAAATAAGGTATCTCTGGAAGGATAAAAGGCGCTGTCTCTGGGAAAGAAAACTGTTTAGCTGGGAGACAAAGAAAAGACTTGTTAACTTTATATCTCTTTGAGAACCATATGAACATAGTGTATTACTTATTTTAAAATGTAATTATTAAAAAATTTTAAGTAAACAAGTTAAAAAAGCAAGTTATTTCACAATTGGGAGTATAGAGATTTTAAGATTTTGGTACATGCTCTTAGTATTTTTTTTTTGTATCATTAATCTACAATTACATGAAGGACATTATGTTTACTAGCCTCTCCCCTTCACCAAGTCCCCCCCACATACCCCTTCACAGTCACTGTCCATCAGCGTAGTAAGATCATGCTCTTAGTATTTTTAAGTACATTCATTTAAAATAAGCACTGAGAATGCAAGTAACTTAAAGGAGCTTACCCATATTGTGTTGTTGTCAGTACTGCTCCTCTCTTTTCCTTCTCAAGTTTTAACTTTTTCTTCCTTTCAATATTGGCCAGAGTTGGGTAGTTTCTAGAAAACAATAAAGTCTATTATAAAAGGGCTTTTAAAGTACAACTTTAATTATGCAATCGAGCAACTGCTGCATTTAGCAATTTTTAACAACTAATACAATAAATCACTATAAACCTTTAACTCCTTCTAGAACTTTTATAAGGAGGAAAAGTAGACTATAAAATGCTACTCAAAATACAGACTAGCTGCCAGTCCACAAACTCTGCTGTCAGCCTGTGACTAGGTAAAGGAGCTTACACTAACATTTAAATCAAATATACAACATACTGTGCTCAAACTGATCTAATTCATTTATTTGGAATGTACCCAAAAATACTGTAAGAAAAAATGTAAGTCTACACAATTTCTTAGGCAAATACACAGTAGGTACATCCAAAGTTACCAAGATTTGGAAGAGACAGTTCTCAAAAAAGGTTAACTGTCTACCAGGAAGGATGATAAAAGCACACAAATAGCTGTAACAGAGAGTAAAATACATTAAGTGCCCCTAAAACATTGGAAGGTAGAAGGAAAAGATCATAGCTAGCTAGAGAAATGCAAAACAAAGGAGCATGTAAGAAATTGGTCTTAAACGATGTTAATAGATAGAAATCAGATGGAAAGCCTTCAGAATGGTTTCAGCAGAGCAAACAAATCAAGGCCCCCAAAATGTGAGAGATATCCAGGGAACGCAGCGGTTCATTCTGCATAAAACATAGTCGTAGGCAATAAGATTCAGAAAGGGAGGCTAAGGCCAAAATGTACCTTGAATAGCAGGCTAAAAAGTTGGTATTTAATTTGGAGGCAATGGGGAACCACTGAAAATTGTGAACAGGGAGAGTTACATATACACAAGGCAGTGATTAAGATTAAATCTGACAGCAGTGTGCAAGATGAATAGTTTTGACAAAGCTTTCTTTGTTCCTTGGCACAGCTGTGTGGAGATGCAGAACCAAACTCTCTGGTAGTGTGGGGACTATATCCTAGGAGTATAAAATGTGTGGAGGGAGGGGAACAGACAGTTTTCTACCACTCACTCAGCCTAGCCAGTCATCGGTATAAATTTTGAGAAACATCAACAAAACATACTCTGCCACTGTGTCTAGGACACTGTTTCCATTTTTTTTTAAGTATCTGCATTTTTTAAAATGTTCTCTATTTTTTTAAATTTCTGCATCACTGACCTGAATTATTACAGACAATACAAAGCCTATGAGTTGGCCACACTGAAATATAAGAATGGAAATAATACTGAGTAAGTGGTAAAATAATCAGGAAAAAAGGCAATGAATATCAATGAGGACAATGCAAAGCAATCCAGCCAAGAAAAATCAACTCCATAAACAAAAGATGATGAAAGTACAAGCTATAAATAAACATAAGAGGAAAAGAGCAAGGTCATAGGAGATAAAAATCTGACAGCCAGGCTGCACCATATGACTATACTTTTGGAAAGCAAACAATCTTACGAATAGATTAAATGAACTCTGGCACATGTACAGAGTGTAAAATCTTCCTCTCAAACACTCAAAAGTGGTCAGAAACTCTTAGGGCACTGTATCCAGTTTTGGATTTCTAAACTGAAAAGGAATGTTGAGGAAAATAAAATTGGAAGGGATTCAGAAGAGACTCAAAGATGATTAACAGGATGAAAAAAAAACCTCTTAAGATGAAAGGAACTGAACTATCTGCAGCCTTTAAAAGAGGAAGAGAAGTAACAATAAAGCATCTTACAGACATGATGGCAGCCAGCTGTTCTCAATCTGAAGACAGAATATGCAGAAGAAAAATGATGAGAAAAAAGGTGATGACTTTCACAGGCCCCACCGTGTCTGGGCACATTACTCACAGCTACTCACTCAACACCCTTCACATTTCTGAAATTCACTTACTCTTACCACTTGGGTTTCTTCAACATTTTTCTTGCGAGTACTGCAGACCCTTAACATGCTGGGCCACATGCTAAACAATAAAGCTGTGGTACCACGGTGTACCTTGGGCAAGCAAGCAGATACTATCTAAGTGCTTCCCAATGATTATACAATGTAAACATTTGTTACAGCAAGTGATTTTAGGTGAGATGGAAGAAAGAATTCCTTAAGAAGACATCAAGATTGTTGTGGAAACTCCTTTGGAGGAGTTTTTAAAGCAGCTGACTTTCTCTTTAAAAGTAACACTTCCTAAAGGTTAAGAGATTTTTCAATATTCCTTGAAAAGCTGTAACATTCTGTTTTTCACTGCTTAAAGTATCAAAATCCTCTTCCAAAATTTGGACCATTATTCTTAACACAGAACCTAGAGACTAAAAACTAAGAAAAACAAGGGACAAGAAAGCAAATTATCCCAAAAAAAGGCCATCAAAAACACAAGATCTAGCTACACATACATAATCAGGAAGCCCCCTCAAGCAACACAATACTGAGATAGAAAATAAGGAAACATTTGAGTTCTGATAAAGGTCACAGTTCAGGTTCCTAAAGTACACCTGAAGTAGCAAATCAAAGTAAATAAAATCAAAAATCAAAAAACTATTGAAAAAAAATCACAGATTATCTCTCATTGCACAATTACATACAGATAAAACTTATTCCAGTTTCTCCTGTTAGAAAAATGGATGTTATGAAGTTGTACAGACTGGGATTTGCACAGTTGGTTTCTCCATTTTTACCTGCTAAAATCATTTTTCCATATACCTCCATCTTTCCCCAATGCCCCAAGAGGAAATAGCCTGAAACCACATGCCCTTTTTCTCTCTTCTCCCTCTTTCATATTTTACTTACTCTTTGCTTTCCTCTTGCTTAAGCCTTAAACCTCCAGTGATAATCCGTAAGCACTACAGTCAATAAATGTGCAAAACTGTGCCAACCATGACATTAGCACCTATCACTCTAGTTACATTACACTCTCTCTTTCCTTATCCTCAAATCACTGCTAATTTATTGGCTTTTCCCCTAAGCCTATTCTCCATAAAAACACAATCCCCTTTTACTGGCACTGAACCACAAGTGCGTCAACACAAGCCATACTACTGCATTTTTATTTCAAAGTCTCTCTGAAGTTGAAAAAGATGTAGCATTCTTTGTGAGCAGACCCCCCCTCGGTCGGGATTCTGAAAGAACAGGGGACACAATTTAAAAGGATTTCCTCAGAGACACAGTAACTGTTCAAATAAATATCAAAAAACTACACCACCTAGTGGGCTCCTAATCTGCTATAAAATATGTTTCAGTTTCTAAATTCAAGGTTTGGACACAAATCTCTACCACTCATTTTCCCTAATACCAAATCATACAGTATTTGTACCTCATAGGTCAGGAATTAAGAGAGAATCATTTTAGAAAACTTTAAAGTTTTTAATTAAACAGTGGACACCTCTGATTTTGGCTAATCTGAAAAAAATAACAATGAATGAATAAAGGCAAAGATATACAGCTGACCCCTGAACAACACAGGTTTGAACAGCAAAGGTCTATCTACACATGGATTTTTTTTCAGCAAATATATTAAAAAGATTCCTGGAGATTTGTGACAAATTGAAAACACATTTCCTTTTCTCTAGCTTACTTTATTGTTAAGAGTATAGTATATAATATATACAACATACAAAATATGTGCTAAGCAACTGGTAGGCTATCAGTGTTAAATTTGGAGGGAGTCAAAAGGTATTTTCTGATTTCCAGTTGCATAAGGAGTTGGCACCCATAACCTCCATGTTGTTCAGAGGACACATGTGGTTTCTTTACAGAAAAAGGAACAATACACCAAGCAAATATTTATAGTGTTTTCTTCCAGTTCTAAAATTCTCACTTTGTGAAAATCTTTTAGTTTCCTAACAGCAATTACACAGGCTTTATCTTTCCTGCATGTCAAAAATTACAGTGGCTTCCTCAGAAAGAATGTAGCTCTCGTGAGGATAAAATTCAAGACCTAAGGACTCTTCAGTCATATCAGTATGAAATTTGCTCAAAAATTTTTAGGAGTTCAAAGAACATTTTTTTAAAAGTTGAGAATGACAGAAATTTAGAAAGTAAATATTTTCATAATAAGTTTTTAAAAACTGCTAGTGGAAAGACTGTTAGTGTATCTTTGACAAATCTATCAAATGTGCCAAAAGAAATGTCTCCCGCACCTTGTATTAGTAAGGACACTTCTAGAAATAATGTATTAACATGTCAAAGTGAAGGAACTTGAGAAACAACCTAAGGTTGTTTAAAGCTCAGATGAATTCAACAGATGCTATGATCATTTCAGAACTCTTGGTTAACAAGACAACATCCAGCAACAAATAAACTTCATCCAAAATTGCCCTCCTCACCCAATTTCCTCATTCTCTTTAAGCATCTCTAAATCTCACAAATCTGAAACCTCACTTACTTTATAGATTTTGCCCATTCCTCTTTCAAGGCTTTTCTGTCCACTGGCATAGTCATACCTTCAGCCTTTGTTCTAGAAGAAACTAAAACTAAACTCTATCTCCTATGCTCCCACCTATCCTACATGAAAGAATCATCAATAAGCATATTATACCCTTGCTCAAGTCTATCTTTATTCAGAAGAGATAGAGCTGCTTCCAAATATCACTTAGTTTTGAAATTCAACAAGTTTTAAATGTTGCCACCAAGCACTGAGGTGAACACTCCTGACTGCTTGTTCCCACCTCTTCCCTAACACTGTTGTTTGGGGATGTTCCATTGACTCTGCTGCCACTAAAAATGGCCAGGTAACAATTTGAGAGCTACACAGAGTCTACTGGTTGGAGCTAAAAACAAAGCTTTTGTTTACCTAAGAAAATGTGCAGACTCGGCTATGTGTACCTTTTGCCTCTTTCTCTGCTTCCTAACTAGAATGTGGGCTTAATATCTGGATATTCAGAAACCTTATACCAGACATGAAGATGAAAACCACTGACTAAGGAACAAAAACAGAGAGCTTGTGCCCAATAATACTGTGGAGCAGCATCAGTAGCCCTGGGCTTCTTCCCACCTGGGAAAAAGAGACCTCCGTGTGCTACACCATGG